TTTCCCTAGCGTTGGATAGAAGAAATCCATTTCATTTCCGTAGGGAAACCGATTCCCCCTGCCTTTCTGTCTCCTCTCGGCAGCACCCCAGAGTTGTGAGGTTCCCAGCCCGCTTGGGGAGGTACCACCACGGAGCCCCTTTGTTAAAATTGCACCGATGCATTGGTGGGGGTTTGTAATGAAGGTTCGCATCTCCCGTCCCCAAAGATCCCGTTGTGCCACGGATCAGTGTAAACAACCGGTGACGTGCTGCAGGTGGATTGAGAGATCCCGCTGCCGATAGCCTAGACACCGAGATTGGCAAAAAGAGCCAATGTCTGTAGGCACCGAATCTCAAGAAGCAAATAATGTAGATGGGGAAATAACACCGCTCGAGTCTCGCCCTTTAGCCTGGTCAGTTTCAGCCCTCGTAGCCCGTTGTCTTTGGGTCACTCCGTGGCCTGGGACCGGCGTCGCTTCATTCACAAAGAGGAGGCCGAAACTCTGAAGCAGAAGGGCAGCTCTCTGGGACGCTCCGATCGGCCTGGCCCGGGAACATGGGCACCTGGACCCCACTGGCTGGAGGCCGGGGAGGCAGAACGGGACAGCAGGCCCTGCTTCTCGCGTGTGTGGACGGGGAAATCCATTGGGAAGAACCACGTGGAGGCGGAGGTTCGATTTTACTGGACTGTGAAGCCCATTCTGGTGCCCAGGAGAGTCCGAAGTAGCGCAGGCGCCAGAGGCTCTGCGTCCGTAGAGGTCGGACTGGAGGGCCCGTTGGGAGGTGGAGGGTCAGGTTGGGCATTTGAAGGCTGGGCGGAGAGGGAATTGGCCCCCACGAGGGGAGCAGGCTGGGGGACGCCGGCGGGGGAAGCTGCTGGCCTGCTTTTGGGGGCCGGGTTTGAACGGGGCGAGGAGAGGAGAAGGGAGCACGGGGGCCCATCCTGCCTGGCGTTGGGGTGTGCGTGAGGGGCTGGGAGCTCAGCCCGGTCTCGGGGGCCAGCCGGGCTGTTGCGATTCGGGGCTGAGGCGCGGGGGGTGCTCAAGGGAGGCATCCGAGGGAGCCAGCCTGGCACCGGCGCGGTGCAACGTGTCCCCTCCCAGGGTGGATTGGGCCTGGCATCCCAACTCTGGGCTGCCCTGAATTGCGGCTCCAGATCTGCCCGTTTCTGCCCCGCACTGCCCCATGCTCCTGGGATTGTGGAGCCGGGAATGGGGCTTCCCAGGGCAGGGTGAGGAGAGGCCCCCTGGGGCCCGATCCTGAGCTAAGCCCGGCCCTACCCGCTGAGCGGAAGCACCCGGCCAGGCAGCTGTCTGGCAGGCTTTGCAGCCCGTTCCCTCCTCACCCCGGCGGGGCTAAAAGCCTCGGTCCTGCCAGCACGACGGGACCCCGCACAGGAGAGCGCCGCGGGGAAGCACCGGGCGAGGGGAGCCGCGGAAACGGCGCTAAATCTGCTCCCGTGGACTGAGATCTCTCAGTGTCTCTGCTCACAGCAATAGCGGATCCCTGCGGCACCGGGCAGCGGGGTGCCGTGAGGCCGGGCCCAGCGCCGAGCCAGGCTCGGGGGCTTCGGATTCACTCCGAGCGGCAGCATCTTCCTTTGCCGTTTGCTATCCCAGCCGGCCCTGCGAACCGCATCCCCAGAGGGGGCTGCCTCTCCGCACCGGGCGGATGGGCCTCCCTTCAGCTTGCACCGCGCATTCGGGGCCTTCACAGACGCCGCGGAATTTGGTTCTTTTTTTGGCAACCAGGCTGCAGATCTGGCCAAACCGAAACGTTCCACACATGTGGGTCATTTCCTTGGAGCCAATTGCGGATACTTTCCTGAAAACATCCCCCCGCTACCCAGCAGCACTCCAGAAAGCCAACTGGACATTGGAAATCATTAGCAAAGGGATCAACAAGAAGACAGAAAATAACCTATTGCCTTTATACAAATCCACGGTACTTCCTCATCTTGAATATTGCCCACACATCTGGCTGCCCCATCTCAAAAAAGATCGGTTGGAATTCAAAAAGGTACAGAAAAGGGCAATGAAAAAGATCAAAGGGTTTGGAACGGCTTCCACGTCAGGAGAGATTAATACGACTGGGACTTTTCAGCTTGGAAAAGAGATGACTAAGGGCGGATATAGATTGAGGTCTGTAAAATCATGAGGGTGTGGAAAATGTAAATAAGGATGTGTTATTTACTCCTTCCCTTAACACAAGAACTGGGATCAATGAACTGAATAGGCAGCAGGTTTAAAACAAGAGGAAGTTTGTCTTCACACAGTCAACCTGTGGAACTCCTTGCCAAAGGATGGCAAAACTATGAAGGATTAAAAAAGAACTAGATAAATGCATGTAGGATAGACAGGATGGTGCCCCTAGTCTCTGTTTGTCAGAGGTTGGGAATGGATGACGGGAGATTTGATCCCTGTTCTGTTAATTGCCTCTGGGGCACCTGGTACTGGCCACTGTGGGCAGACAGGACACTGGGCTACATGGCCCTTTGGGCTGAGCCAGTCTGGCCGTTCTTGTGTTCACCACATTGTGTCCACCAAATCTGAAAAACTGGAAACGTTTTCTAATTAGGAACACGTTTTTGTTTTGAAGTTGCCTTTAATTTAAAAGTAGTTTTAAAAAGAGCTCAAAATCCAGCAGGAAAGATTTGGGGGGGCAGGGTAGGGGAGCGTTCTCTGGTCTGTGTTGTGCAGCAGGTCAGGTTAGAGCAGCGGTTTTACACGGAGGGGGCGCGCCCCAGCGCCGGGTGGGGGGGTGTTGGGCACTGGG